ACTGTCCCTGGCTCTTCCCTCACCCCTTCTCCCAGCTGCCAAGATTTCTTGGGGAGACCAGCATTTCTCAGATTGGGAGTCCTGATCCAAAAGCCCCTCCAGGGCTTTTGTCCATTTCAAAAGCAGGGAGCATCGGGCCAGCAGAAGACTGCTTGAGTCCCGCACTGGACCCATGCTACCCACGTGCATTTGCTTTTGAAATGTAACAAGAGCCATGCTCTTGCTACATTTCAACGGTGGAAGCGCTGACAGTTCTCCGCTGCACCCCTGCCTCTCTCCTCACAAAGATGGTGCTGGGGGGAAACCAGCTTTTAAGGTGGCTTCTGCCAGCACCAGCTCCTGCTCCCCCCTTGCTGCCTCTCTGACAGAAGCATCATGTGGGTGAGGGGGAGAGAAAGCGAATAGTCAAGTCACTAGTTGACTAGTCGCTTACATCCCTATATACATCCTACTTATGCGTATCACAACACATGGTGTACTTCTTCATGTGCACTCAGTGCTCCAACAGAAACTATGTGGGTGAAACTGGACAATGATTACACTCTCTAATGAACTCACACAGGAAAGTGGTAAAAGACAAAAAACACTCTAGCACCTATGGGTGAACTTTATTCTCAAGGTGTTCACTCTATATCTGATTTATCAGTCTTCATCCTCAAAGTAAATCTGCTCAACATTTTCAAAGACTGGGAGCTTAAATTCATAACTTTGCTAGACAGAACTGAGACACTAGATTTATGGCTTATTACAACAATCTATAATCTGCTAACAATTCCTTTCTAGCTTCAGGGGGTAGCAGACTTAGTCTGTACCGGATAAACTTAAAAAACAATAAATGATCTGGTAGCACTTTATAGACTAACATAACATGTAGCTGGTATCATGAGCTTTCGTGGGTACAGCCCACTTCTTCAGATGACTTTGGTCATCTGAAGAAGTGGGCTGTGCCAACAAAAGCTCATGATACCATTTTGTTTTGTTAGTCTATAAAGTGCTACCAGACAATTTGTTGGTTTTTAAGTTAATTCCTTGCTAGGTGCTTCTCCCACCCATCACTTCTTAGGACTTGAAGGGGTGTTAAAAAGCTATTTCTCCTTGAATGGTCACTGGAAAGGTGTTAACTGCTTTAAGCTAAACAACCTGTTCCATCTTTTATTTAGCTGTGACACTCTTCAAGTTTTCCAGACCTGAAAAAGAGCTCAATGTAAGCTCATAAACTTGTCTCTCACCAACAAAAGTTGGCCCAACGGTCTCACCCCCTTGTTCCTCTAGTTCATGCAGTGTCAAACTTTAGAACAAAAAATAGTAATTAAGGCCAACCAAATTCATGAAAAACGTAACAGACCGTGAAATCTGGTCTCCCCCGTGAAATCTGGTCTTTTGTATACTTTTACCTGTACTGTACAGATTCCACAGGGAAGATCAGTGTTTCTCAAACTGGAGTTCCTGACTCAATAGGAGATCGTTTGGGGGTTGCATGGTTATTGCAGCAATACCATACCAAGCTCTGCTTACTTCACCTCTGCAGGCAGCATTGAATAATGGCCTGAGAGTAAAAGCTTATGCTGGCCTAAATAGTTTAACATGGTTCAGCATTCATTATCTTTCCATATATTATACGGTTCATGACTCACCTTCCATGGAATACTTGAAGAAAAGATTGTTAACATTGGTCACTGTTTCCCCATCTTCCTCTTGACTCCTGAGAGTATGGATTCTCTTAATTAAATCTGTGATTACTTCATTGACTCCTCCAGAGAAAACAGCCACATCTTTGGGTTTCAGGACTTTCTGCCTTAGTACGCTCCTCATTTTTAGCCATTGTTCCCCCTCCCTAAAAGAAATAATATGAAATATCTATACGTAGTTCTTTCCGACAATCATTAGCTGAGCATGAAGTTCATGAATTAAATGAGAGCCCCTCATTACCAATTACTTTGTTTAATCACTTGCTAAAATTGAAACCACTACTGGAAAGGAGTATACTGGAGACTGGTCCATGATGTAACATTCTTATGTTTTTTATTCTGTATTTACTGCGGGTAAATTCCATGGTCTAATCCACCTTACTGTTACAGTATTCAATCAAGTTTGTAAGCTCATAATGCGTAGTGGTGAGAGACGTAGGACTTTCTCATAGCTTTTGGAAGTGCTATCAGGAGATTGTTCGGTCACATTTGCTATATACACACAGTACCTGGCCAACAAACCATATCTAAGAGTCTGATTTGCAAAAGTATCACACATATATTCTCATTAAAATGAAACAAATATACAATTTATTTTTGCTAATTTGTTTTCTTTTTAGACACTTTTGGTATTTTTCTCCCAAAAACATCTAGCATAACCAGATTTCATGGACCAATTGTCTGATTTAATATAGCAAATCCTGTTATTGGCATATCAAGCTTGGTTATGCTTCTTTCAAATATAGGGGAAGTTATCTTTTTGTCACAGAAAAGGTATCCTTTGCAAATCCTAACAGCATACGAGAAGTTTAAACAGACCGTTCACATTAAGAATTACATAATTTAGAACAAAAGTTTCAGAGGGGTAGCTGAGTCTGTAACTGGAAAAACTTAAACACAACAAATAGTCTAGCAGCACCTTAAAGACTAACAAAACATGTAGATGGTATCTTGAGCTTTTGTGGGTACAACCCACTTCTTCAGATGAATAGAGTATAAAAAATTCCAGTGGTTCTCCATCAAAAAGTACAAAGAGGTCTTTCAAGGGATACATCAACTGATCTAGATATTTGCCTAGTTTTACAACAGGTTACATAAAAAAATAGCAACATTAGTACAAACTATAATTTCATACAGACAATGACTTGTTTATGTTACTCCACATGCTATACACTGAAATGTAAATAACATTTATATTCCAATTGGTTTATTTTATAACCATGGGCACTTCTAGACTACTTTTTTCTTTCAAAAGAAGATATGTGAATTTGGCACGAATTTGTGTATCTTCTTCCGACACCAGCTGTGGTGACGGGCGGGAGACGCTGGGGGCAGGGGGCGGGGGGGTTGGGGGGGGGGGGGGGGGATTTTTTTCTAAAGAACTCTTCTTCCTCAAAAAATGAGTTTTACAGCATTCTTTCAAAAAAGGGTTTTTTTCCCTCGAAAGAACCGCGTCTAGACGGCTTGCTTTTTCGAAAAAACCTCTTTCAAAAAAGCAATCAGAAGGAGATATGCAAATTAATGCCAAATTTGCATATCTTCTTTTGAAAGAAAAATGTAGTCTAGATGTGCCCTATATGGTATAAATGAGAAAGTAAGCAATTTTTCAGTAATAGTGTGTTGTGAAATTTGTGAGGGTTTTTTTTGCCTGATTTTATAAACAAATAGTTTTAAAATGAGGTGACATTTAAGGTACACAAGACAAATCAGACTCTTGAAAAGGGGAATGGTAGTCTGGAAAGGTTGAAAGCCATGGATTTAGAATATGTGAGCTGAATAGGCTCACGTTTTCTCATGTACTAGGATTAGGGCTCTGCAAAACTCAGAGATTCCATGACTTCCTGCAACCTTGGTGACTTCTGCAGTGGCCAATGTAACTGACTGCAGGAAGCAGCCCCAAAAGCCACTTGAGCAACATCCGTGGGAATGGCAGGAGCTGCTGCAGCTCAGTGGCTCCAGATCACCTGGAGCACCTGCTTGGGTCTCCCCTGCTAGCAGTGGATCCCCAGTACTCCTTCTGCAGCTGGTACCGTAGGCTTCCTGCTCACCCAGGCAGCACCGTCCCCTTAAGATTTAGTTAGGGTATTCATGGACAGGCCATGAGTTGCAATTGTTTGTTTCTTGCCTGTGACCTTACACTAAAAATAGCCATGATTAAATCATCGCCTTAACGATGACGTTTCTTATGTATAACACTGAAGCAGGAATAAAGATTGTGGAGGCATTTCTTAGAGTCAGTAGAGAGCCTCTTTTAGCTCAAATATGCAGAGGCCTGGGTTTATAAAGTCCTGAATTATATTTCCCTTGCTACCACGGAGGTAGCACGGGCTTCCTGCGGGATCGGGGAGCAGTTCTACAGCTATGCACTAGGTCCTGGAAGTGCGTGGGCTGCTCTTCCTCCTGCCCCCAACAGCCAGCGCGGTACCTAAAATGCCGGTCCATTGCGCGCTGGGGACTTAGTTCCCCTGCTGCCTTCCTGCGTGCGGTGAAGGGGATGGGGATCCAGGACTGTGCCAACTCTGGCTGCTCAGGTGGCACGTGCTGCTGTGGGGAGTGGAGGAGCAAGGCGCGTGCTGCCAGAGCGGATGGGGCTGGCACGGTACGGGACCCCCTCTCTCCTTAGCGTGGGCAGGCAGCAGGGGGAGGTAGTGCAGGCTTTCTGTGGGGTGGGGGAGAATTCTGCAGCTGCGTGCCAGGTCCCAGAAGTGCGCAGGCTGCTCTCCCTCCCTCCTCCCCACCCAACAGCCGGCGCAGTACATAAAATGCAGGTCCACCACGCACCGGGGACTTTGTTCCCCTCTGCCTTCCTGGGTGCGGGAGAGGGGGCGGGGGTCCATGACTGCACCAGCTCCATCTGCTCAGGGGGCGTGCACTGCTGTGGGGAGTGGAGGAGTAAGGTGCACGCTGCCTGAGTGGTTGGGGCTGGCGTGGTCCTGGATTCCTCCTCCCCCCCCATGCAGGAAGGCAGCAGGGGAATAAAATCGCCAGCATGCCGGCTCCAGCTGCTCAGGCAGTGCGCACTGCCATGGGGAGCGGAGAAACAAGGCTCATATTGTCCCAGCAGTTGGGGCTGGCACAGTCCTGGACTCCTCCTCCCCCAGTGCAGGAAGGCATCAGGCGTGTGACGGACCAGTGTTTCAGGTACCACACAGCTGCTTGGGGGACAGGGGGGCAGCTCGTGCACTTCTTGGGCCTTGGGAGGCAGCTACAAGATCCCCAGGTATGAGTCCCTGTCCCCTCTCCCTGACCCAGACCCCCACAAGTACTCTGCCCCAGCACCCACTGGCACTCAGTCCTCTGTCTCAGCACCCACAAGCACCTGTCCCAGCACCCACAAGCACCCATTGGCACCCTTCCCCAGAACTCTATCCCAGTACCCACAAGCACCCTGTCCCCTGCCCCAGCACCCACTGGCACCCTGGCACCCTTCCCCAGAACCTTGTCCCAGCACCCACAAAAGTACAGTTGGGGCCACATTAGTGAGGTTTGAGGTGTTTGGAGGGGTTGTGTTTTTGTTTCTCACTTTTGTGCCCCGACTGATTTTTCTGTGGGCCAGTGACCCCTGACTCAAAATAGGTTAGCCGCCCTTCTCATAAACAAAGACGATGCTGAAACCTTTTGTGTTTGACATAATATTTTATTTAAAAATGAAGCCTGGCCAACAAGCCCCCAGCTGGGGCCAAGTTTTCATCTGATCACAGTATCATAACACTCCTGTACACTCCACCCCAACTCCAAATCTGAGCCTATCATACACTGGAACCCTCTGTCCTGAGACTCTCACATCCCCAAACTCCTGCACCCCCACATCCCCAATCTTCTACCACAACACTCTTGCACCATTCACATACTGCAAATCTGTGTCCTGAGCCCATCATACTCCCGAACTCTCTGCCCTAAGCCCCTCACACCCTCAACCCAAACTCCTGCACCCTCACATCGCATCCCACCCCTCCACTTGAGCCCAGCACTCCCTAGCCTGGAGCCCCCTCCCTGAGCCAGCATCCCCTTCTCCACATCCTCCTGCATCCAAATTCCCTACTAGAGCTTGCACCTCTCACTCATTCCCACACCTAAATCCCTTGTTCACACCCCAGAGCCCGCACCTCCTGTCTCAACCCAGTGAGGGTACGGCTAGACTGCAGGGCTACGTCTACACTGGCCCCTTTTCCGGAAGGGGCATGTAAATTTCACCAGTCGTCGTAGGGAAATCCGCGGGGGATTTAAATATCCCCCGCGGCATTTAAATAAAAATGTCCGCCGCTTTTTTCCGGCTTTTAAAAAGCCGGAAAAGAGCGTCTACACTGGCCCCGATCCTCCGGAAAAAGCGCCCTTTTCCGGAGGCTCTTATTCCTACTTCAAAGTAGGCGGCGGACATTTTTATTTAAATGCCGCGGGGGATATTTAAATCCCCCGCGGATTTCCCTACGACGACTGGTGAAATTTACATGCCCCTTCCGGAAAAGGGGCCAGTGTAGACGAGCCCCAGGAGTTTTCCTGGCAAACACGCTCTTTTGACAGCCCCTGTATTCCTCGTTCCGCAAGGAATGAGGGGGCTTCCAAAAGAAGGAGTTTTTCTGACATTTGGCCCAGTCTAGATGGGCCAAATGTTGGAAAAAATTCTTCTTTCTTTTCTTCACTGCTGAAAAAAAGCAGCAGTGTAGCCGTACCCTGAGAGTGTATAAGGGCCAGGGATAGCAAGTGATAGAGAGAAGGGGAACAGAGAGGGCGGGGCCTCAAGGAAGGGGTGGGGCTTGGGGGAAGGGCTGGGGTAGATCTTGCCTTGTTCTGACATTTAAAAAGTGATCTTAGGTGTAAAAAGGTTGGAGACCTCTGTTGTAAGGCCTACAAAAAACAAACACCACAGTTAAGCTGCTGATGTGCTGAGACCACAGCTTATCATGGTGGCCGTACAGTCTCATTGTTTCCTTGTATTCCCCTCTGTGACAGGCCATTGACGGCCCACACCCCGGCCAGCCTGCTGCGGAGCGCCGTGGACCTTGCCGGGAGCAGTGAGCCTGCAAGCCGGGATGCAGCCGCCGTGCAGAAGGAACCCTTCAGCTGGTTGGGGTACCACAGACGCTGCAAGCTCTGCCCCCGGCTTAGTGCCAGATCGAACAGAGGCAGCAAGCAGCCAACCTGAAGTGACACGGGTATCCTTCTTGTCTTAGCATTTATCTATTTACTTTGATCTGCGTAGGTTTAAGTACCCATTCTCCAGATACTTAATGATGCCTGTCTCACACACCCATTCCTTTTTCTCTCCCCTCTCCCTGTTTATTTTGAGTTTTCATATCACCTACTCATAACTCCGGTCATCTGAAGAAATGGGCTCTGCCCACGAAAGCTCATGATACCATCTACATATTTTGTTAGTCTATAAAGTGCTACCAGACCATTTGTTGGTTTTTTTTGTTCTGTGTTTGCACAGCGTCAGGCACAGTGGTATCCTGGTACTATGAGAATACAAATAATATTAAGTGGCACCTTCCAAATCTTCCATTATGGACCCATTATTCAGCAAAACAAAGAAAGAACATACAAATTGCCATACTGGTCCAGATCAGTGGACCATCTAGTACAGTATTATTATGTCTTCTGACACAGACAAGTGCTAGATGCTTAAGAGGAAATGAATGAAACAAGGCAGTTACTGAGTGATCCATCCAATCTCATCATCTGGCAGAGGTTAAGGAAAAAGTGGAGCATGGGGTTGTATCCCTGACCATCTTGGGTAATAGCCTTTGATGGATATACCTTTATGATTTTATCTATTTCTTTTAAACTCAGCTCTTTTCAAAGATGAATAGTCCCAGTCTTTTTAATCTTTCCTTATATGGAAGCCATTCTATACCCTAATCATTTTTGTTGCTCTTCTCTGTACCTTTTCTAATTCTTATATATAAAACAAGGAGCCATTATTTTGTTTCAGATATATTATAGCCATGTGATTTTGGTGAAATATGAGTGTTAATTGCATTATAAGATTTTCACTATACAAAGACTTTTTCTACTTTGCAATATTATATGAAAAAAGCAGGCTGATATATATGGTACTTCAAAAAATTAACATGTTTTGATAATACAAATTAAAGGGAGAAAAGTGACTATACTTACGCAGAAATAAGTCCTGTAGCTCTCCCACGTAAATCTCTGTATTCCTGCCAAGATTCCATGTTAGCTCTTTGTGGAGTTCTACCTTCTGCTCGGAGAACCTGGGCAACCATGTCTCGATCTGCAATGGATACTACAAACTGGGGTCCAAAGTGAGATTTGAAGATCTTTCCATACTCCTGAGTGTGTTTTTGCTGCATCAAACCAACAAACCAGAGAAGAAAAACATTATGAAAAAAAAATGACAAAGAAAAGTTGATATTTTTGTCATAGAACATATAGATGTTCACTGACATAAAATGCCACCTAATCTGATGAGGTTCAAGAAGGACAAGTGCAGAGTCCTACACTTGGGACGGAAGAATCCCAAGCACTGTTACGGGCTGGGGACCGACTGTCTAATTAGCAGTTCAGCAAAAAAGGACACGGGGATTACAGTGGATGAGAAGTTGGATATGAGTCAACAGTGTGACCTCTCTGAACCTAGCCCTTGTACTCAAGAAGGCTAATGGCATATTAGGGTGCATTAGGAGGACCATTTCCAGCAGATCTAAAGAAGTAATTATTTCCCTTTATTTGGCATTGGTGAGGCCACATCTGGGCCCCCCACTATAGAAAGGATGTGGATACATTGGAGAGGGTCCAGCGGAGGGCAAACAAAATGATTAGGGGACTGAAGCACATGACCTACGAGGAGAGGTTGAGGGATTCGGGCTTATTTAGTCTCCAGAAGAGAAGAATGAGGGGAGATTTGATAGCAGCCTTCAACTTTCTAAAGAGAGGTTCCAGAAAAGACGGAGAGAGGTTGTTCTCAGTGGTGACCGATTGCAGAACAAGGAGCAATGGTCTCAAGTTACGGTGGGGGAAACTGGATACAGGTAGTCCCCGACTTACAAATGCATCAACATACGACCAGCTGCATTTACAACCAACCTCCCATTAAGCGTGGCCCTGACTTACGAATGGCGATCCACGCTTACAAACAGTGCGGTCCCATTGAAATGAATGGGGTCTGACTTATGAACACATTGAGTTGTGACCAAGTGCTTGGTATGTAACTCGTTTGTAAGTCAGGGACTATCTGTATTAGGAAAAACTATTTCCCTAGGAGGGTGGTGAAGTATTGGAATGGGTTACCTAGGGAGGTGGTGGAATCTGCATCCCTAGAGGTTTTTAAGTCCCAGCTTGACAAAGCCATGGCTGAGAGGATTTAGTTAGGGTTGGTCTTCCTTCAGGAAAGGGGTTGGATTTGATGATTCCTGAGGTCTTTTCCAGCCCAAGGATTCTATGATTCTATAATCTATGGAGTTGAGGGTTTGCAGTGATAGCACTTTAAAAATAGAGTAAGTTATTCAGACTTCTGAATATGAGTTATCTTTAAAGCTAGTTCATTATTTAAAAAAAAACTGGAGCTGAAGACCAGTCTGGTGAGATAATGTGCTCCTGCCAACAAAGCAGTAGTCACATGTGCACATGCCACAGCAAAACTTGTTGTCGACAGGCAGAGGGAGTGGTTAAGAACTCCAGAATGACAAAAGTGTTGTCAAGCAAGAGCAGGTGGAGATAAAGCCTTAGTCGTGTTTGGATCCAGATCTAGGTCTCAAGCTCTTCACCATCGCGGATTCACGTATATACATAATGTAATGAAAAAAGTCCGCGAAGTCGTGAATCCGCGATAGTCGAACCGCGAAGTAGCGAGGGTTCACTGTATTTCTTTTAAACTCAGCTCTTTTCAAAGATGAATAGTCCCAGTCTTTTTAATCTTTCCTTATATGGAAGCCATTCTATACCCTAATCATTTTTGTTGCTCTTCTCTGTACCTTTTCTAATTCTTATATATAAAACAAGGAGCCATTATTTTGTTTCAGATATATTATAGCCATGTGATTTTGGTGAAATATGAGTGTTAATTGCATTATAAGATTTTCACTATACAAAGACTTTTTCTACTTTGCAATATTATATGAAAAAAGCAGGCTGATATATATGGTACTTCAAAAAATTAACATGTTTTGATAATACAAATTAAAGGGAGAAAAGTGACTATACTTACGCAGAAATAAGTCCTGTAGCTCTCCCACGTAAATCTCTGTATTCCTGCCAAGATTCCATGTTAGCTCTTTGTGGAGTTCTACCTTCTGCTCGGAGAACCTGGGCAACCATGTCTCGATCTGCAATGGATACTACAAACTGGGGTCCAAAGTGAGATTTGAAGATCTTTCCATACTCCTGAGTGTGTTTTTGCTGCATCAAACCAACAAACCAGAGAAGAAAAACATTATGAAAAAAAAATGACAAAGAAAAGTTGATATTTTTGTCATAGAACATATAGATGTTCACTGACATAAAATGCCACCTAATCTGATGAGGTTCAAGAAGGACAAGTGCAGAGTCCTACACTTGGGACGGAAGAATCCCAAGCACTGTTACGGGCTGGGGACCGACTGTCTAATTAGCAGTTCAGCAAAAAAGGACACGGGGATTACAGTGGATGAGAAGTTGGATATGAGTCAACAGTGTGACCTCTCTGAACCTAGCCCTTGTACTCAAGAAGGCTAATGGCATATTAGGGTGCATTAGGAGGACCATTTCCAGCAGATCTAAGGAAGTAATTATTTCCCTTTATTTGGCATTGGTGAGGCCACATCTGGGCCCCCCACTATAGAAAGGATGTGGATACATTGGAGAGGGTCCAGCGGAGGGCAAACAAAATGATTAGGGGACTGAAGCACATGACCTACGAGGAGAGGTTGAGGGATTCGGGCTTATTTAGTCTCCAGAAGAGAAGAATGAGGGGAGATTTGATAGCAGCCTTCAACTTTCTAAAGAGAGGTTCCAGAAAAGACGGAGAGAGGTTGTTCTCAGTGGTGACCGATTGCAGAACAAGGAGCAATGGTCTCAAGTTACGGTGGGGGAAACTGGATACAGGTAGTCCCCGACTTACAAATGCATCAACATACGACCAGCTGCATTTACAACCAACCTCCCATTAAGCGTGGCCCTGACTTACGAATGGCGATCCACGCTTACAAACAGTGCGGTCCCATTGAAATGAATGGGGTCTGACTTATGAACACATTGAGTTGTGACCAAGTGCTTGGTATGTAACTCGTTTGTAAGTCAGGGACTATCTGTATTAGGAAAAACTATTTCCCTAGGAGGGTGGTGAAGTATTGGAATGGGTTACCTAGGGAGGTGGTGGAATCTGCATCCCTAGAGGTTTTTAAGTCCCAGCTTGACAAAGCCATGGCTGAGAGGATTTAGTTAGGGTTGGTCTTCCTTCAGGAAAGGGGTTGGATTTGATGATTCCTGAGGTCTTTTCCAGCCCAAGGATTCTATGATTCTATAATCTATGGAGTTGAGGGTTTGCAGTGATAGCACTTTAAAAATAGAGTAAGTTATTCAGACTTCTGAATATGAGTTATCTTTAAAGCTAGTTCATTATTTAAAAAAAAACTGGAGCTGAAGACCAGTCTGGTGAGATAATGTGCTCCTGCCAACAAAGCAGTAGTCACATGTGCACATGCCACAGCAAAACTTGTTGTCGACAGGCAGAGGGAGTGGTTAAGAACTCCAGAATGACAAAAGTGTTGTCAAGCAAGAGCAGGTGGAGATAAAGCCTTAGTCGTGTTTGGATCCAGATCTAGGTCTCAAGCTCTTCAGTCAAGCAATAGCTGAAAGTGTCACTAGAAAGTATCTTCACATCAGCCTTGAAATACTCACTATGACCAGAAAATGAGGTCACTGCTATGTAGGACCATGGATGATGGAAAGACCCAGACCTCTACAAGATACAAAGAGCTTCCCACTCACCTTTGTTTGCTTCTCTCTGAACCTAGCTCAACTGAACATTTAAGAGGTGAAAGGACTTGTGGAGTAGGAAATGTGCAGTTTGTTGACAAAACTGATTCTTTCCCATATCAACCTTTATAAAAATATTTGATCTTATAGAAAAGATAATCCCAGAAAAGATCAAAACAAAATATGGAAGGAAAGGGAGATCAGAAGCGTAATCATGGAGTAAATGTGTACTTTTTTGTTTTAAAAAAAGCTCACTTGTATCTCTCCGATAAAAGAACCTATATGTGTGTTCCTTATTCTTTACAAAGTCTGCTTCATTGATCTTGCCAGTAGGACTGCCAGCACAGCAGCAGTGCACTGAAGTCTCCAAAATTTAGACCAGATTTATTATGACAAACATCTCAGAAAAGACATATGTTGTCAGATGAGGCGGGGGAAGAAATAAAGGATGTTCTACTCATCTAGTAAGGCATCTCTGCTGAACGATCCATGAATACAGGATCCATGAGACAAAGAGCAGGCAATTAAGAAAGAGGAATTGAGAAACATTCAAAAATTTTAAAAAGGGACACAAAAAGATGGTAAATTATTTTACAGAATGATGCTTTATTTTTCCCCAACAAAAAGAAAAAGATTAACACATTTAATTGTGAGCTGGTCTTGAAATGAAGCACCTATATCCCAGGAATTCATTTTGAATATATTTGAAGAGAGATTAGGACTAAATGTAGGCCTGAGGAAAAACAACAAAACCACTTTAGAAGATAGTAGGTATAGATAATAAAAACCCATTAGCAGAGGGTAGCGCAGAAGAACATTTACCATCAGAGAATTGGGACTGGAAAAAAAATCTATCATTAGGAGAGCAGATTTAATTTTAGTAATACTCCTTAATCTTCCACTACTGTATAGAATAGATTAAATGTTTAATTGCCTATAATAACCTTGGACAGAATTCACCATTCTTTAACATACTGTATACTACATTCTTTTCACATATATACATTGTTATAAATATCATCATAATTTTTTTAAGTGTAAGCTAGCATTCAATGCTAAATTCTGAAGAGTACAGTCTAATGAATTATACACATTCTTTTCACAAATAATAGAAACAGAAGGTAAATCTTCCAGGCAGTAATCTTGACTTCCTTTGCGTCCGTATAGCCTTTAACCCATCTTGGGACATAACTTGGAAAAAATAATTATAAATAATAAGTAAAATGGCCTTCTGTGCCTCAAATCTGTATTGCAGATTTAGCTGGAAAGTCTTATTTGATATTCTGTCACAAACTCATTAATTCCATTTTTCTTTATTACAGTTATTAAATATAAACCATATTGTCAACCTACTCCCTCACATGCCATGCTGTACTTCACACATAATTAAGTTGCAAGAGTCCAAACCCTTCTCTTTCACCTTCATTTTCCTTCTCTCTGAGCCTACAGATGGAATACAACTGCTTCAGCTCCACTAAATTCATAACTCTTTGCCTTTGCCTAGAGTTGTTGCGGGCACTGTTGGTATGGCCTAGGCCAGCTAAATTTTGGAATCAGGTTACTGAGAACAGACCCTTCATTGTAAAAAAATGCTTAAACCTTCCCCCCATAAAGCCCCCTCCTTCTGCATATGGAACATTTCTGTGTCTCAAAGAACATAATTTAAGTAGCTGCTGTGGTTACCAAGAGGTTTCAGATTAATTCATTCCTGATGTTCACTCTGTTGTAAAATTTAACAGGGTGTTATTAATCTAATTACAGAATATATGCAAACAAGCCATCTTGATGTGTAAAGTAAAATGTTTTTGGAGACTCAACGCTGAATTAAAAAATAAATAAAATATACTGCTGCATACCTTTTTTTGCTGTTTTTTCCTTCACAAATAGTATTGAATTAAGGGAGAAATTCTGTATTATTTAGTGATAGTGAAAAGTAGAGAAGCATATTGGCATGTATTACTTAGGATTTTTCCACCTCTAGTTTATTTTATTTATAATATCATTTTTATAGCACTAACATTTAGTTTTTTAAAATTAAAAAAGCAATATTTTTACGGTAGAGCTATTCTGTTGTAATTTAATTTTTGTACATGAGTCAGAGGTCTGTTTTGTATGCTCACACACACAGATTACTTTTTGCTTTGTTTCTTTCAGGAGGAAGTCAATTATTTTTAATGACTACCAATCTAGATGGGTCAAAAAATTCAAAAATAGAAGAGCAAAGTTCTGCCATCACTGAAGATTTAGAAGTCTAATTTTAATCTATTTTTAAAAGTACAACTGAAAGAAACATATAAGATTTGCTCTAAAATACAGAAACCTTTACTCTAAAATACAGAAATTCTTTCAGGGAATTTTTAATTCCTCTTCTCCCTCCTTATTTTTGTTTCCTTCCACCCTTCATGTCTCTATCCTGAGTTTTATCAGCAACTGCACTTTCTTTTTCCTCTCTTTTTTATCTTTTCTGCTCCTTTTCTAAGCCAAATATCATACCTCTGCTTGCTTCTTAGGCCTTTTAATTTATGGCACAATTTATATTATCAAGGGGTGTGGGGTTTTTTTAAACCAACAATTAAGCTCTAGTATAGATGCAGCCATCTTCTTCATTTTACTATACATTTTAGAAATGTGCATCTGCCTGTCCATCTATGAGACCATTTGTTCAAGAATGCCTAAACGGAAGGAGCTAGGACCACCAAATTTTATTTGCAGCTTCCTCTTATTATAACTTAAAGCCAAATAAGGGCTTGGCTGTGCCAGCATAATGGAATGTGCCTGGAATTCAAATGTTTCTCATAAAATGGAAAGGGAGGAGTCTGGTAGGAGGGAGTTATATTGCAGATTGACCACCTTGGCAGCAAAGAGCCAGAAATGGAGTCCATTGGGCCAACAGGGGACAGGAGTGGAGAAAGGGACAGCTGTCTATCATATATTAGGCAGGTCAACATGTAGACAACCACACGATTAACCGATAAGCCTAAGGTTACTGGTTAATCCTGCCAACTACATGCATTCTCCCAGCCATTTGCTGCCTCTGGATCAGCTGGTGCCCCTTCCCCCACACTGCTGCCTCGGGAGGAGGGCAGGCAGGAGCCAATATACTTGAGGAACTGCCAAAGCTGGCTCTCAGTGCGTGCTGGCTCCACAGACTAGGGATGTTAAATTGTGTTTAATCAGCTAATCAAGTAGTCAATGGAATTTCCATCAACTACTCAATTAGTTGATAAGGGGGGAACTGCAGAGTTGCAGTGGGGTTAGCTCCTGGCCCCAGGAACATGCCCCACTGCAGCTCTGCTCTGCCTTTTAAACATTGTAAGAGCCACACGGTTATTACTACATTTAAAAGGCAGAGGCGCAGCAGGGGACAGGGTGTGAGCTGGGAGTCAGCTGTCCCGGCTTGTGCCCAGTACCAGATGCTGTGCCAAGAACTCTGCACTCTGTCCCCCACTGCACCTCTCCCCCCTCCCGCCCCCCCGCACTCCCTTT